TTGCAATCCCAATCTGTTGATATGTGTTTAAAGGATTTCAAGTCTATAGGTTTCTCTTCCATCATCTCCCTTACCCCCACGTGATTTACTTGTGAGGAAACTATTAGTCTAAGCAGTATGGGTTGTCTAGTCTAGGTTGCTTCCCCAGTTTCCCATGCAGAAGAAGGCAGTTGGCACTGTAGGTTGGAGCAGATTTACCTGTGTGGGGTTTGTTGTTTCAACAATGCTGCTTCATAGATAGCTTCACACTCCCTTCTCATGAGACAAACCATATTTATTTCTTACAATTTCAAGTTAATCATCATGGATGATTGACACCCAGTCTGTTAATTTCTTAAGAGGTACAAAATAGTGACATTCTAATTCTATTATAACTCTCTTATTACCATGTAGAATACTTACTTTTATGAATAGATGTTTTCTACATTTTTTTTATTTAAGTAACAGCATTAAAGTTATATAAGAAAGCTAGGACAGGGCTGAGATGGCTCAGTGAGTATGAGTACTTGCTGTGCAGGATTAAGGACTGAGTTCATGTCTCCAGCATTCACACAGAAACAGACTTTGAGGGCTGAAGGGTAAGGTCACAATTGGGTTGTCTTCTGGACATGAGATTGCCCTTGCAATCACAAGCACATAGCCATGACTGCCAACAGGGAGTCTGAAAAGGAAAGAATTGGAGAGGGGGAAGGGAGGAACAGAGGGGTAGGAATAGGAGTGGTTGGGAGAGTGACAGAGGCGATAGCTTAGGTGAATATAATCATGATGCAGTGTTTACAAATATAAAAGTAATTATTGTATTAAAAGTTTGGGCGGCCCTGTGAAGAACCAGTTAGTAAAAGAGAATAAATAATAGGGGAAACAAAGTTAAGCATGGCTATGCACAGCTCCACCCCCAGTGCTGAGGGGTGGGGTAGGGGGTCAGAAAGGCTGATCCTTGGGGCTTGCTGTCTCAGCCTAATAAAAAATCAGGGAGCTGCAGGTTCAGTGACAGACCCTGTCTCAAGGGAATAAGGAAAGAGCTGTAGAGGAACACTCTTGCTGTACTCCTCCTGCGCCTCGCGTGTACTTCTGTGGGTACTCCAGCACGTGCACATACACAAGGACAGCAAAGCTGGGACAAGCATTGCTGTCTTCGTTTCACTTCGCTTCTTGTTATCATTTAGATCCTTGTTTCCTTCTCATTGTGGCAGTCTCACTATTTGTGAGTGACTTCATTATTGCATTCTGTGTTCCTAGGCAACGCCATTGCTTTGGTGTCATACATTCTATCAATTATCTGATCTCTGACTGATGCAAGAATGTCAAGTTGACCCCTGAATCCTTGATGTGATTCTGTGGTCTTTGACTTTGCAGCTCTTCCAGGTTGGAATGTAGTTTATTCTACACCTCCAAATTTCCCTAAGGAAAGCCTCAACACATCCACTGGCTCTCTGGAAAAGATGAGAGTTTCCTATGAGAGCCAGCTTTGTTCCAACTGCAAGTCAAATCAGAGCAGGCTCTGGAAACTCACCCATGAAATTCACTTCATGTGTTTTTGTTGTTGCTGTCTTTCGAGTCAGGGTCTCGTGTAGCCCAAGCTGCCTCAAATACACTGTGTAATAGGGACTAGCGTTGAACATCTGGTCTTCCTGCACCATCTCCAAAATGTGCAGCTTACAGGTGCTGCTGAGGATCGAACCCAGGGCTTTGCACATGCTAGGCAAGCACACTGCCAACTGAGCTGTATACTCAGCACCATTTTGTGAAATTTTTGAGACTCTACCAGGTATTTGGAGAAAAAGGAATACAATGGCATAGTTTAATTTTTGTCTAAAGAGTTTGGGTATTTTTTTCCTCTTTCCTTTTTTCTTTCTGTATGTGTTTGTGTGTGTCCCTGTGTGTTGTGTGAACATGCATGCCTGTGTGGTGTCTATTTTGCATGTGTGTCACACCACCTGGGATCTCTGTTAAACCTTATTCATTGAGGAAGGATCTATCAGTCAAATGCAGAGCTCACTGATGTGCCTGGTCTGCTAGGCAGCTGTCTCTGGAGAATCTCATCTCCATCTTCTGAGGCTGAACTTACAAACCCATCGGCATTTCCATGGGCCCTGAACCCAGGATCTGCACACTCTCTCAGCCAGGACTTTCACCTCTGAGCCATCTCCCTGAGCTCCTGGAGGTGTCTTTAAGGACACAGTGACACAGAGCTGATACACACCTGTGGACACTATTATGCCTCTACTTTTGTTTCTTTCTCTCCTATCAGGTTGGGGTTTGATTACTAATTATTCTAAACTCCTTTTAATTAATTACAAAGAGTAATGTATCTAACTAAGGGGGCTTTTGTTGAAGACTATGTAAAAGAGAAAGGATGAAATGGAGTTGCTTTTTCTAAACCTGGGAATGAATAGGAAAGCCCAATTCTAGCCTCTAGTCTGAACCAATGCTTACCCTCTGCCCATTTTATAAAGTTGTTGAGTGCTGTAATGAGTTTATATTTATAGACTGCTTGGAGCTTTTTGGATGAAAGGTGCTAAATTAGAGTTTATTGTTTATTGAATTTATTTGATGTGTCCAACCTCCTGGGAACACTTACTGGAGTTAATTAAAATCAGATAGTGCACAATCTGACAGCTTACAGTGTCACATCCAAACCAATAACATAAACAGCTTGCACTAATGTTGCCCTAACTTGAGACTTCCTAGAGGACCATGTTTCTTTGGACAGAGAAAGGCTCCTGCTATGTAGGTGTCCCAAGTACAGCTGCAGGTTCAAGTCACAGAGATGGTCTCAACTTTGTCTGAGTTGTTGACCTACCCTACTTCACAAAAACAAAGAAACAAGCCTTAGAATATGGAAAATGTCTTCATTTCTGGCTATAAAATACTGGTCAAAGTAATTTCAAAAGTAGTAATAATCTTGGGCCAGTGAAATGACTTAGTATGCTCGCCACCATGTCTGATGACCTGAGTTTGATATCTATGACATGGCAGAAGGAGAAAACTGACCCCCTCGAGTGGTACTGTGTGTTTTACATACATGCATGCACACACACAATGTGCATGTAAACACACAATGAAAACTAAAATATCATAAACACTTTGCAGACTTTAATACACTTTCATCAAGATTCTGAAATGTCAACACACCATGAGATGTGGCTTTCATCCCTGTAAACTGTGGCTCCCTGGGCATGCTCAGTCTACAATATCTACACATTCTCAGCTGCACAATCTGGCTAAGCTGCCTCTTCCATAACTTCATGTTGAATGTGACATTTACTGTTATTCAAGTCCCTTGTCAAGATGAACAAAACAATTATAAACATCTATAAGCAAGCAAAAAAAAAAAACTTTTCAAAATAAAAGTTTTTGAAGTTCAAAGAGTTCATGCTAAATTGTTTTTAAATAAAAGGCTAGGAGGAGTGGAGGTAGGGAAACTGGCTGCAACATATTGGATGAGAAAAGTCTATTTTAAAAAATCCTCCAAGTTCAGAAACATTTCTTCAATCGTCAATATTTTTCACAAGGACTTAACAGAAAAGATAGTGATCTAAATATTCTCTATGATTACTGCATTTTCTTTGCAGGACTGGCATTCAGAAACAAACTAGAGGGCAGTATGCTTTCTAAACCCAACTTAGCGCAGCCAAGCACGATTGTAACAAATGGCTGTTTCCTTTCTTTTTGCCAGTTGGTGATGGAGTTCTGTGGTGCTGGCTCAGTCACGGACCTGATCAAAAACACGAAAGGCAACACGCTGAAAGAAGAGTGGATTGCATACATCTGCAGGGAGATCTTACGGGTAGGTGACAAGTGGGTACGGCTTCCTCCCAGTTTTTTTTTTTTTTTTTAGGTAACACAGGATGCCTTGGGAGATATTCTACTCTGTACAGTGTTTCTAGTGAAATTTGTAAATGCAGTAGAAATGTATTTAATGGCTTTATTCTAACAAGCTTCACACTTGTACACATTTGTAATTCTAGCATTTGGAAAGCTAAAGCAAGTAGATTGTGAATTCCAAGCTACCTGATGTACACATAGCTCTGTTTCCACAAAATAAAGAAACAAGAAAGACAGACAGATAAATCATAAACAGACAGGCAATGAAAAGATAGAGGATAGGTAGAAGGTATGTGATGGAGAGAGGATAGAAGACAGACAGACAGATAAATAGATAAAAGATAAATAGAGTATATCTGTAGATATAGATAAACAATCAATGAATGGTTTATTTGAACAGTGATGGCACACACACACTCACACACACACACACACACACACACACACAGAGAGAGAGAGAGAGAGAGAGAGAGAGAGAGAGAGAGAGAAAGTTTCTCTATGTAGCCCTGGAACCTGCTCTGTAGAACAGACTGGCCTTAAACCCAGAGATCCACCTGTCTCTGCCTCTCAAGTGTTGGGATTAAAGGTGTGTGCCACCACCGCCTAGCTAAATTCTCATTATTACAAAGATATCACTTCTCTAAGGCTTAATACATACTTTCTTTGAACTTCTAACCAAAACTTCTCTGATTATTACTTATGGACAAGCTAGTTTTTAGAAACTTTGTGGAGATGTAAATGGCCCAGAATAACCAAACCCATTTTAAAGAAGAATAAAGGTACAGAGTTCATGTTCTCCACTCTCAGGACTTATTTAAGGTTTCTAAGTGACAAAACTAGAGCAGGATCAAGGGCACAGAGTCCATGCCATATAAACTCCAGTACATGAGAAAGAGGAGTCTACTGTCGGGGATGCTTTTTTTATCACTATCCATATTGACTATCAATATTACAATGTTAAATTAGCACCTGTTTTAAGCTATGGCAAATATTTTACTCGAATAAACACAAATGGCAAATATAGGCAACACCAATTATATTTATTTATTTGTTTGTTTGCTTGTTTAATATAGGGTCTCTTGTTGTCCAGGCCTGTTTTTAATTTGCTATGTAGTTGAGGTTGGCCAAGAATGTTCTGACGTTTCTGCTTCTGCTTCAAACTCTTGAGTGCTGAGGTGACAGACATGTGCCACTACACCTACATTTTTTTTTATTTTAGTGTGTGTGTGTGTGTGTATGTGTGTGTATGTGTATGTGCACCCAACCTGCACACACATGCATCTTCAGTGTAGGTCTCTGTTTGTGTTTGTGCATGGATACAGATGCATGTGGAAATCAGAGTCAATCATTTCCAGTGTTTCTCAGTCACTATCAACCTTTTCTTGTGTGGATGTATACATTATGTGGAGAGGGTACTTGTGTCATACCTTACATGTGGAGGAGTCATGACATACAAGTTTGTGGAGTCGAGGCTCTTCTTCCACAATTATGTAGACATGAGGGAGCAAACTTAAGTCATCAGGCTTATGCACAAACACCTTTGCCTTCTGACCTTCTTCACACCTAATATTATCCTTTGAGTCAGACCTCTCCCCAAATCCTACACTCACTAATTTGCTAGACTGGCTAGCCAACAAGTTTTTGGGATCTCCCTGTCTCTGTTCCTGCAGTAGCCAGCTTTTTAGTGTCACTGTTTATATAGGTATTAGCGATCCAAACTCAGGTCCCTATGATGTTTAGCATGCCCTTTACTAACTGGACCATATCCTCACTCTCATACCCAATTCTAAAGTTGTTATGAGAAAAGATAGAATGATATAATGTATAGCTTGGAATAGACAGAAGTGATGTCTGAATAAAAACGAAAACACAACTTGAGAAGACGCAAGTGAGACTATTGATTTCATGTTAGCTGAAAGTTATCTGCAAGGCTCTATCTGCCATTGACTCCATGCGAATTTCTATCTTGAGTACTTGAGGCTACCCAGTGGGCACTAAGAATCTATGAGGCCTCCGGGAGCAGTTCTGCTCACCCACCCCCATGCCCGCCCGTTTTTCCCCTACTAGAAGATCCCGTAGAGGGCCAGGTATTCATGCTCAAGGGATCTAAAGGCAGCACAGATATTCATCCTAGACTTTTTAAATATATGAAAGCAACATGCTTCTTCCTCCTTCCAGTGCATTCTCCCACGTGGGATAGAAAGTAGTGTTTGATCACCTGGATATCCCTTATCACAAGATTTTTGTTCATGCATGTGCTCTGCTATACCGTCCCAACCACTTTGGTCCAGGATAAAGGGATCCTCAGTCTTATGGGCACTCACATTTATGTACTGTAAAAGAGGGCATTTAAAGCTAATCACAGCCTGCCTAGAGCCAAACTCACCAAAACAGTGCCTCACACCATCCCCTCACATACTCTCAGGCTGCTTCTTCAACAACGAAAGTCAGAGAGTGTGTGTGTGCATGTATGTGTGTATGCATGTGTGAGTGTATATATATATCCTTGATATAATTATTGTGGTATTTATGGACCAATTAAAAGAACAGAGAAATCATAAATAATAAAACAACAACACTTGGGTGACTGGTAGCATAACTTCATGAGTACTAGACCAATGTATTTTGCTTAATGCCACATAATAGGTGCCAACCAAAGAAACAGAAATTATTTCCTTTTTGTGTATTGTGCAGGCATGCTTGTGTCTTTGTATAAGCTACAAGGCCATGTCAGCTGTCATTCTTCAGTTACTGTCCTTCATTGACTTTTAGAGACGGTCTCTCAATGGCCTGGAAATCAAGAACTTTGTTAGGCTGGGTGTCCAGTGAGCCCGCCGTCCCCCACCACACACACACACACACACACACACACACACACACACACACACACCAGGGATCCACCTATCTCTGCATTGTAGGCACTGCCATTGTGCCTCCCCTTTTTGTTGTCATGACATCTAACACAGGCCCCATCTAAAAGACAGGTACCTGGCTGACTGAGCTTCTCTCCAGCCCACTTTCCTTAGGCAGTGAGTGTGGTCCTCGCTGCCTAAGACCAAAGAGAAAGCCCTCATCTGGCCTGAAACGTGTTGCATTGTGCTTAATTAAAATTGAAGATAACTTGTAAATTAAAATACCTTCCCCAAAGTTAAATTTGGTGAAGCCAGGTTAGTTTTCTATGCAAACTGTTAATGTACCCATTACAAATTAGCCCATATAGGCACATCTCATTTCTCATAGCACCATGTTAACTGAAATTCAAGCAGGTAGGAATCCACCCATATCTTTAAGCGTGAAGTTTGCTGCACTGTTATTAGACCTGATATGTTTTGTTCAACATAATGTTATGTGTATATTTCTCTTGGTACTGATAGTGACCTACAGTAGTGTGAAATGAGAATAGACTTCTATAAGTATCTTTGGATGCATTGAGTTTGAGGGTGACTGTTAGCATTCAAAGCTGTGTTTGCTCTTTTGTTTATATCCTATTAACTCTCTCAACTCTCCATCCCACCAGGGCCTGAGTCACCTGCACCAGCACAAAGTGATTCACCGAGATATTAAAGGGCAGAACGTCTTGCTGACTGAAAATGCAGAGGTTAAGCTAGGTATGGACAGCATGCTATGAGCCATGGCACTGCTGGAGTCCAACAGTGTCAGCAATCCTTTGAAAATATAAATCTGTTACTGTGGACATGGGTGTTTCCCCAGAGATGAAAGGAAAAATGTTTTGTCTATTTGCAAAGCATTTTCCAAATCCATCCTGAGGAATGACTTGTGTGGTGATTGGAACCCTGCACTTAAGCACTGTGTAGAGTATGTGACAGGCCTCAACATTGTCCCTTCCACTTCAGTCTGTGTATGCCACTGCTGCTGTGATGAGGCTCTGGTGGCTCTAGGCGTTTGGGTGTTTTGTTTTGTTCCATCAAAAACATTCACGTTTGAAAGTATTTTGAATAGTCAAGTCCTGCTAACTTCCCAGAGGCTTGAGTTAGTTTTAAAGGTCTTTTCTTATTCCCTACGGCTCCTGTACAAAGGGTGTGTTCTCGAGTCCATTCCAGGTACACACTGACCACCCCACTTCACCCTGCCAGAGTTGGTGGCAGCAAAATCCTCATCAGAACCTCTCCTAGTTTCACCTTTGTTGCTGTTCCTGACAGAAAGGGAACTTGGTGGTGGAAGGGTCTGTCTTACTTAGCTCGCATTTCCACATTCTAGTCCATCACTGGGGGAAAGGCCACACAGCCAGTACTTGACACACCTAGTCACATCACACTCACAGCCAGGAGTAGAGAGTGAATGCATATGTACTCACTTTCTCCACTTAGAGACAGCCCAGGACCCAAATCTAGAGAATGGAGCACTCACAGTGGGCTGGGTCTTCCCGCAGGCCAACCCCATTTAGACAAAGTCTCAAAGAGACTCATGGTAAGGTGGTTCTAGACTGAGTCAGGCTGAGAGCTAAAACTATTCTAGAGCCCTTTCCCAAAAAAAAAAAAAAAAAAATCTGGAAATGCTCTTATTATCTAAAAGGGATTGGCTATCCATGGGATTGTTTATTTCCAAAGAGCCGTGAACATTTGCCCTTCCCTTTTGTTAAAATATATAATTTCCCATTCTATTGGCATTTGAAGCCATACATTCATCACATGAATATTTGCTTTTAAAAACAAGAGCATACATTGTACAGGCTAAATGGATGCATGTATAGAGTTTAGGTGATCTAGGCTCAGAGGACTTCCTGATGCTATTTAACAAGCACTTGTTAGGAATGTAATATATACCACATCTCTTAGGAGACACATTGTCTTCTGTTAACAGGGTCATACAATGTTACCATCCTCATCTTTGTATTGTGGATTTGGAAAACCAAACACAGAGGTGGTTTTTTTATTGATCACAGTGCTAGCCAGTGGCAGGAATGGTATGTAAACTTTGGCAGGCTGACTCTAGCCCTTAGGTCTTAATGACAATGCCAGTTTTGTGTTGCCCTTTGTGGCCATAAAGGTTACCATTGACCAAACCTCTACCTTTGGTCTCAATGGAGCCTTGGTATAATCAAATACAGCAATTTGTGATTTCCTCACTGGTTTATTTCTCAACTTAATCATGCCATTTAAAGGTATGTGCTCACAGTATAAAAAATGGTAGAAGGGACCCAAATGCCTATCACCAAAGGAAAAGATAAACAAAGTGTAAACATAGAAATTTAATGGAAAATGATTCAGCATTAGCAAGGAAGAAAACTGTAACATTTGTTACAACCTGGCTGAATTTTTAGGGCACTGTGTTAAGTGAAATAAGAATGCATTCTGTGTGATTCTCCTCATTTATCAGAGTATTCAGTGTCCTAGAGACAGACAGGAGGAGGATTGGGTGAATTGTGGTACATAAATTTACTGCTCAGTGGTATAGAATCTCAGGAGAGGAAGATGAAGTGTTCTAGGAGATGAATGATGGTGATGGTGGCACAATCTTATTGGCTTAACTGTCCCAGAAAAATGTGCATGGAAGCAGGTTAAAATCTATCCTAATTAGATTTCTGTTGTTGTAATAAGACACCATGGCCAAACGCATCTTGGGTAAGGATAGGGTTTATTTCAGCCTACACCTCTCAGGTCACAGGCTATGACTGAGCAAAGTCAGAGCAGGAACTCAAGGCAGGAACCTTGAGGCAGGAACTGAAGCAGAGGCCATGGAGGAATGCTGCTCACTGGCTTGCTCTGGGCTTCTCCCTCAGTTTCTTTCCTTATCCTCCCAGTGCCAGGATTACTCCACCCACAATGTGCGGGGCCCTCCCACATCAGCCATCTGTCAAGAAAATGCCCCCATGAACTTTCCTACATGCAATCTCATGGAGACATTTTCTCAGTTGAGGTTCCTCTATATTGTGTCAAGCTGACAAAAAAAAAAAAAAATCAAGATAAAGTTGTAAAGATATATACATATATCTTCACAATAGAAATACACAAATACACATCCATTTTATTTTCACATCCAATCTTAGGTTCTAATTTATTCAATTGTCTTCTCTTCATTAGTGGACTTTGGAGTGAGTGCCCAACTTGACCGAACAGTGGGCAGGCGGAACACATTCATTGGGACCCCCTACTGGATGGCACCAGAAGTCATTGCCTGTGATGAGAACCCAGATGCCACATATGATTTCAAGGTATGACTTCTGCATTGTGCCCTTGTCCTCAATTTTTCAAGGGAAAATTCTCACAGGCATTTGTGTTTGTGATTTATGTGACTGAAAAACATTTCTTTTAGATCTAGGATTGTAAGACACTCAAGTAAGAATTGCTTAGTGAATTCACCCATGATATTTGATTGTCCATTTACAAAAGGATATTGATGAGGTTTATGTTTTGGGTTATAGCTTTGTTTTGGCAAAATACGTATTCTTATCACCCTTTTTCCATATACTAACTCTTTCAGTTCAGTTTTTCCTGATACCGAAAACATTCCTATTATACATATGCAAAGAGTTCCATGTAATACTTTTATATGTGCTAACATACACAATATTTAAATCGGGATAAATATATTTATATTTTAAAACATCATATTGTCAAGGTAAAAAGTTTCAGAGGGCCCTGAAGTGGCAGCTCAGTTGGTAAAGTACTTGCTCACAAGCATAAAGACTGGAGTCAGTCTTCTAGAACCCACATAAAAAGTCAGCCATGATTGATGAAGGTTTGTAATCCCAGCTCTGCGGAAGATCCTGGGCCTCACAGCCAGCCAGCCTAGCCTTCCTGGCAAGTTCCAAACCAGTAACTGACCCTGTCACAAGAATCGAGGCTACTGAAAAACGATACCTAAGATTAACCTGACCTCTCCATGTACAACACACAGGTGCAGACATGCATACTTAGACCTACACACACATGCTCACTCACAAACCTTGAGGATCCTTCTAGCTTTCTGAAGTAAACAGCACAGTTGTAATTGTAATTATCTACTACACAATAGCACACAGGAACTCTATGTTCCTATCCAACTAGAACATAGCACATATTAAACCAAAATCTGAATACTGGAGGCATCTTCTTGTTCCTCATTTCCACAGTGCTAACCTTAGATATTCTGAAGTTTCTTCTCTAGAGGAGAATAAAATGGGATGTTGGTGTGTGCTTTGGTTTTCCTCTAGTGTGGCATGGCATTTCACAGAAATCTGATGTATCCCTTGTTACTTTTATTATAAACTAGACATGTGCGACAAAGTTCAAGCCACATTCAGTAGGCTTCTCCTGGAAGCTCTCCTTTACTCAGTCCCTCTAGCCAATGATGTAATGTGAGTCACAGTTACAAGTCCCTAGAGAGCTACAGTGTCTGATGACATTGCTTTTGTGTACATCTCTGTTAAGATAAAGTGAAACTGTGAACAATGAGATCCAGAGCCACTGCAGAATGCTCAGGCTGTATGCTAGGCAGACACACAGTGTGGGCAAAATGCAATACTGTCTGGGATTTGTTTGGCAGTTCAAGAACTTTTCTTGAAGACTAGCGATTGCCTCTCAATATCCTACAAAGGGGGAAACTGAGGGAAGGTGCATACCCAGTTGGTGATACCCTCTGAACTTTAACTTGAATATGGGTATCCCAACTCTTTATTCAACTCTCTATAATCACTTGTCCCACCCTGAGAAGAAGAGTCTAGTGTGGTTTTGTTGTGTTATTATATAGATTGGTTATTGTTTGAGTTGTCTGAGTTGCCTTTTAAAATGGCTTTGTTTTTAAAAAGTAAGTTAAATCAGCACCCTGAGGGCTCTTTGGAAAGAATCATCAGGGCTCTCCATTATGGCAGTAGGGTCTTAAGGAACGTTTGCTGGGCTTCGGTATAATGTCATAGTTTGCATACAAAGAGTCTATTTGAGGAATTTCTCTGTTAAATCTCACTTCTCCACCTTCAGTTATATTGAAATCAGGTTACAGCAATGCACACAGTGCAGTCTTTGAGACCCAGTGTCTCTGAGCATTCATGAAATTATTCACTCTTTAGAGAAATACAAGCTTGATGGTCATGGAAACATAATAATCGCCTCCTTCCTTCAAAGTTTGTCCCTCTAATGACCTGACAGCAGTCTGTCTGAGAGCAGCTGCCACATTAAAAATTAATCCCCTGCCAAAATAAATGTCATTTATTTAAACTGCTAATGATCAGCACATTTAAATAGTTCCATTTGCAAGTCTGCCATAGAATCCACTACAAAATATATATCCCAGATGAGATATGCATATTTTAATTGGCTGTAAGCAATTCTTCAAACTGTAGTTGTATGTAACCAGTGTTAACTAGTCTACATCTATGTCGTAGATAATTTAACCACTTGAAATGCATACTAGGAGAAAGCTGAAAGGGTGGCTCAGAGGTTTAGTGCACTTGTTGCTCTTGCAGATGACCTGAGGGTTTAAATTCCAGCACTGACATGGTAGATCACAATCATCCAGAACTCCAGTTCCAAGGGATCTGATGCTCTCTTCTAATCTCCAAGGGCACCATTCATGTGCATAGTACACAGACACACATGCAACAACAAAATACCCAAATGTTATGAGCAGTTTTTCCACCCACCTGGTCCCACAGCCACGCCAGCCCCAAATAACACACAGAGATGCTATATTAGATATAATGTCGTTGGCCTGTTACTAACATTTCTTATTGGCTAACTCTGTCTTAAATATTAACCCATTTCTATCAATCTAAGTATTTCCACTTGGTCTTATCTTACCAGAGAGAGGATCAGGACCTCTGTTCTCTTGGTCCTACATTTTGAATCTCCTCCTAACTCTCCCTGAAACCTCCTTGTCTTCTAGTCCTACCTTTCTTGCTTTCCTATTGGCCAACAGTGCTTTATTCACTAACCAATAAGAGAAATATATTTACAGAATGACATCTCCCATCACCCAAACACATAAAATAAATAAATCTAAGTTTTAAAATGAGAAAATTATACCAAGAAACACCAGAGTGTCTAAACTTTCTTTGCTGTCTTAATCTTTTAAGTATCAGGGTGGCTGTATAATGTGCATGTGTTTTCTCTGTAGCATGGACAAGACCCTTATAACTGACTTGCCTTTAGGAGAGTAACTAGAATAGCTTTTCATTTTGGCCAACCCAAAGCTTGGAGTAAAGTTTAATCTTGTGCTTCCTTCTCAGATTATTGCTAAAAAATATTATATAGAACTAATGTGACACCAATATGTAAAGAATACTTTAAAAACCCACAATTAAATAAAAAAGAATCCTCATAGAGAAAACAGGTTCAACTGTGTCAGTCATTTGGACTACAGTGTGAACTTGTTCATCAAGATTGTCATGCATGTAGAATGTTCACAAGGAAGAATACTCCATGCCCAGGGTGTAAACTTTGCTGTTCACCAGTCATGGGAGAAGCAGTGTGTCTGAACTGTGGGTAAAGAACACAACACAAAGCCGAAAGGAAGCCTGGGAAGTCATAGAAGCATTGTTTTAACCACTCCATGATTCCACTCTGACCCAGAAGAGATGGTACCCTTTGAAGCCTGTCTGGCACTGTATCTTACCATGTTTTCTGCTCTGTGTGCCCAGGAATGCGGCCTGCCCCCAGGGGACAATTTGACAACATGCTGACTTGGAAACTCTTTAAACTCTGTATTCAGTCACTCTGTGTATGCTTAACTGAGCTTTCACTCTGCGTGTGTATGTGTGTGTGTGTATGTGTGCATGCGTGTGTGTGTGTGTGTGTGTGTGTGTGTGTGTGTGTGTGTGTGAATTATCTGAGCTTTCTCTGCATAAATCATTTCCTCCTGGAGACCTATAAAGCTTGAGGATTTGGTCTATGTGAGGGCATAGTTCATTTGAGCTGACAGGAGGTCCAGCATTGGCAATGACCTCCAAATGTTGGGTTCTTACAAAATTAAATGTATGCTTCCAGCAATTCAAGGTGGTGTGTATTGAATAAAAGATACTTTGAACAGCATTGAATTCTGTAAGCCTCTCCAAGAAAGCCCTGGCTTTAAAAGGAAGGTGAGATGGATTGGTTTTGTTATGTGATTTATCATTTATTATTATTGACTATTATTTGATTTATTTTGAGATGCTTGTAAAGACTGGTAGAAGTTTCTCTTTTCCCATTTCCCTTTCTAAAGATTTCTTTTTAATGAAGTGTATGCAGAGGGATGTGGATATATGCACATAATTGCATTTGCCCTTGGAGGCCAGAAGACACTGTCAAATCCCTTGGAGCTAGAGTTTCAGGTAGTTGTGAGCCCAATGTGGGTGCTGAGAACTAAACCCAGGTCTTCTAAAGAGCAGTTCATACTCATAACCACTGGGCCTACTGAACCATCTCTCCAGGTCCAGAAGTTTCTTATGAAAGCCAAAGTAATTGACTGTTCTAAGGGCCTTTATGGGAAAGGACTCTGTAGAGATGGAGTTTCAGTGCTGTCTGGGTCTGTGTGGAATCTGATGTATGCAGGGAGGAACTCACAGAATGAGAGGAGGAGAGCCTGCATTGCATTTGCCTGGTGTGCTGGCTTTCCTCCTGGAGGTCCTTCCTTTCTTGCTTTTAGAAATCCTGTCAAAACACTTCAACTGAAAGGAAAGGTTTCATTCCCTGGTAAGTATGCAGGGCAATAATGAAAGCCTTCCCATTTAATAATAAGCATTCAAAAGATTTGAAATTAATAAAGCTGTTCAAAATGCCTAGGCTGTTTAAACTGGTATTTTTAAAACTTACTGTGAATTATATTTCAGTAGGATGGCATCTGATAGGCATTTTACAATCCTAAGTATTACCTTAACAGAGATACCCACTAAAGAAGATTCTGTGTGGCTGAGCCCATAGCCACTGGAATCTGATAAAGAGCTAATTCTCTATCCAGTGAAATACTATGCACCACTTGAGCAATGAGGCATTAGAGTGCTTGGTACACAAATGTGAGTACCAAAACATCTTCCTCTCAACGTAGTCTTGCTTCCACTCACACATAGAAACACTACACACACACAGAGAGAGAGAGAGAGAGAGAGAGAGAGAGGCACGTACACACATATATTAACACAGATGTACACGAACATGTATGCATATACATGCACATACATGGTGTAGGGGGGGTCAATCTGCAAATAGCCTGGAAAAATCATTTGAATGCTTGGCCTCCAAGCATGTAGATGATGCATTCTAA